GAATACGTTAAGATGCCTTATGGCCTTTCTAATGCTCAAGTATTTTATCAAAAGATCATTTCTAAGACGCTCAAATCTTTCATCGATTCAGGAACTGTTCTTGTGTACATAGGTGACGTTCTTTTGCTATCCGATACGGTACCTGAAGGATTAGCCCTTCTACGACGAGTCCTGGAAACCCTTATTTTGTTAGGTTTCTCTATCAATCTCAAGCAATGTACCTTTCTTAGCAGTGAAATAGAGTATCTTGGGATGGTTATCAGTAATGGTCAGGTTAGGCCGAGCGTGCGTAAGGTCCAGGCACTGGTCGATTCTCCAAAGCCTCGAAGCGTCAAACAAATTCGACAGTTCCTTAGCCTTGCGGGCTATTTCAGAAGATATATTCCAAATTATGCCCAGCGAACAGCTTATATCGCGCGTTTAACTACGAAGTACGTATTGATCATTATTGATGCATTTACGAAATACTGCCTTCTGTATTCCCTCCGTCGTCAAGACACTGACGAATTGAAAAAAAAAAGCCTTTACTGACGCGGTTTCGATGTTTGAGTCTCCGAGGATCCAAGTAACGGATCGAGGACGAATGTTTGAGAACACCGCTTTTCAAGATATGGTAAACTCATTCGGTAGGGACATTCACTACATGACGCCAAATATGGACCATGATAATGGACAGGCTGAGCGTTATTGCCGAACTCTACTAAACCTTCTTCGTATTGAAGTCAACCATAGAGGCCAAAGTTGGTCTGATGTACTGTGGAAAATCCAAATTATTTTAAATAGTACAAAACATAGTACGACTAATATGTCTCCCCTTCAATTGCTTATTGGAACGACTTCCACATCATCGGTACAAATTGGAGCTGTTGGCTGGCTCGTATGGGAAGCGTACTGAAGCTGCAGCTGAAAACTTGGTGCAGTGGGCAGCAGAGTGGACTCCCGAGACGTGTGCTGCGTTTTTTTTGCTTGTAAGTTACCGATGTTATTACGCTTTATTGTAATGTAGGTGTTTTGCTTATGTTTTGCTGTATGCATAAGCTGGTGTGCTTACACATATTCACGTTGACATTGAGATTTTCTCTGTCACGGCAGATGGACTACTCATTTGGAGTTTTTCCATGTTCACGTTGGTATAGAGTGTGATTCTCTACCACGGCAGATGGAGGGTTCTGAAAGAATCTCTTCCATATTCACGCTGACATTGAAATGTTTTCTCTGTCACGGCAGATGAACTACTCATTCGGAGTTTTTCATGTTCATGTTGGTATAGAGTGTGATTCTCTACCACGGCAGATGGAGGGTTCTGAAAGAATCTCTTCCATATTCACGCTGACATTGAGATGTTTTCTCTGTCACGGCAGATGAACTACTCATTCGGAGTTTTTCATGTTCACGTTGGTATCGAGTGTAATTCTCTACCACGGCAGGACAGATGGCCCAAAAGGGGTGCTGTCACGGTATACTAGTCACTAGCGTAGCATAGGCAACTGTTATATGGGAGGCCTCCAGAGATCGATAGGCATGAGTGTGATGAATGGTTTGAACGGTTTTGTAAGAGAAACGAATGTAACGTCATGAAGTATGAACCATTGCTTTGTAAGGAGTATGCTTATTATGAACCGTAATGATAAATTCTAATGTGTTCAATTTATTTCCAACTTTTAGTGGCTTCTGATGACTAGTTACATGATACTTCGGAGGAGGATGAGGCGAGATCAAATACCGAACACATCAAGGTTGCGGACGAGGACGACCGCCCGTCAGGAGAGGCCGTGTTACGTGATGACTAGATAGGGGGCGTGGCTAATGATTGCGTCACCGCGGTGGTGGGGTTTCGAGCCCAGAATGCCGGTCGCCGTGGGAGGTGGCAGGGTCACTTTGGCTCGAACGGTCGGAGAGAGTGGTTGTGCTAGGAATTAGATATTACCTTAAATCATTAATTGCTGATCAACATTGTAAAAGTGTTATAAAAGATTTATATTACAAGTTTTGTTTTGAGTGCATTTTTATTAAGAATTTAACGCCTAATCTGTAATAATATATATTTATACTGTCCAAAAATGAACGGATGTAGGCGGAAAGTAAACCATATTTTAATAAAAATCCTTTATTTTAATAAACTTTAATGTTGTAACAATAATGAAAAAGCCCTACCGCGTAAAAAAGTTTACTGGAAGGAAAAAAATTATAACCTACGTGGATTCCATAACTAAGACCCGGCACCCCACAATATATGCGAAGTAAGACAACAATCAAGTTTGAATGAAGACAAGATTTAAGTCGTTAAAGATTGAATGTTCAAATTGAATAAACAAAGCGTTCATCAAATTTACCACTCGGCATACTCATGATGTCCCAGGAGCAAATCCGAATTACCTTACTAAAATAACGATGCATTTCAAAACATTTGCTCGCTCTCAAGCACTTATTTGCTACCCTACTATTTGTCGATCAGTATTAGTCCTTAATTTAAGTAAGTAAGTAAGTTCTAATAGGTTTTTTTTTTGGTTTTATTCTAATAGGGACATTGATCAGTAAGTTTTAGTCCATACTAATTTTAAGTCCGCACCTGTGATATGATTGCTATTCAAAGCGATGCCATCTAATGGTACTAGTTATCTATTTTGATTTTTTTAATAATAAACTTTAAATTACAAATTCATTTTTATTTAGTTATATGGGAGCTAACATTATGTTTAAATATTTTAAAATGTTTATTCACAAAGTACTCATAAAGGATGAGTAACTCCAACTAAAAATTACCCATGTTAATATAGAACGCGACTTAATTCAGACATATTCGTTAAACAACGTATATTGTTCAATACGGACCCCCCTTCTGCCTATAAAACGTCCAATGTTGATATCAAACTCACTATCTCCTTAAATAAAAGGATAAGAAATGTACATTACATAGCATTTATCTAGGCTGTTACAACATACTAATAAATCTAAATGTCAAGTCTCACCGTTTAAGAGTTACAAAAGTCAACAACTTCTCTAACCTCTACTGAAAACTATCAACACTACTAATTAAACTTTATTCTACGGATGATTCGAAATTCACTTTGACTCACTGCGGGCTCGGCCGCCGTCATGAGTAGATCAATTAAAGCGGTTCGTGATGAAAAATACCGATTGCTGTAGAAATACAAAATATTCCAAAAACTAAATTTGATACATTCTTGACCAAGGTAAGATATTATCATTATTATTTTTATAATCACAGATTTTCATAACAATATATTGTTTCACTAATAGTAAATAGGATTTATAAATAAAGGATTTATAAAGAAATGAGGATATCCGCAGTAGAATCAGAGTAACTGACATAGCTCAACGGCTTAGTAAGCTGAAGTGGCAATGGGCCGGCCATATAGCTCGAAGAACTGACAACCGTTGGTTAAAAAGGGTTCTCGAGAGGCAGCCTCGTACCGGTAGGCGAAGTGTAGGGCGACCCCCTACTAGATGAAGTGACGACCTGGTAAGACATGCAGGAAGTCGATGGATGCAGGTGGCTCAGGACCGTGCTCTGTGGCATTACTTGGGGGAGGCCTATGTTCAGCAGTGGACTTGTGAAGGGCTGTAATGATGATAATGATGATTGATACTTATACGTCATGGACTTTATGGAGTGACCTGATAGTGTACTTTCGTGAATGATAAATCTAAATACTGGTTATGAATATATAAAAAAACTTTTTGAAAACTAAATAAAGTTCATGAGAAAACATATTTTTAAAGAGTCAGAAAAAAGACTAGTTTTTACGATAATGCTTTATATATATATATATATATATATATATATATATAGTGTGTGTACAGATACCTAAAAATTAAAGTAATATTAATGTTGACTTCTGCTCGTTTTAAGATAATTCTGTTACAAGTTTTTTCAATTAACAATATAAAAAATTAATCTCAATAATAATAACATAGTAAAATGAAAAAAAAATATTTTCTGTTGTAGATTGAAATTTTTAATAATTTTTTTCACGATCAATATGAGCATTACGAATCGTGCTCTTTGATTTTCAAAACACTTTTTATTGGCATAAAATTATCGGAAAATTAGAAGTGATACTAACAAGGTTATTTGTGAAAACGTGTGTGTATTTAAAATACTTTAAAAAATGACGTAGGACGGAATAGAATTGATCTATATCATGAGCGTGCTTGATTAAGGATAATTTTAGAATTAAACTTTAGTTACGATTGATAAGTACTTAATCCATTTGTGAATTAATTTTGATGATATTATAAGAATTTTTAATTTGTTACTACTTCCGGTTTCTAATGTATGATAAGTATATTGTAATAAATGTATTAAAATAGCCTAAAAATGTTTATTTGGATGTTAAAAATGTATTTCATATTTTTGAATATTTTTGAATTTGTTTAAGTAAGGATTTTAGTTCCTTTATCTTATTACTTACTATATGTGTTAAACCGTTTTCGACAACGTGTTTTCTGAAATATATTTATACTACAAATTAATTGTTGAAAACGTTTTTAAAAGGCTTTTTATGATTTTATTTAATGGTTAATAATTTTTAAAATTTGATTTTTAATATTTAGATGTGTTAAGAATAATTATTCAGTTGTAAAAAAATAAAAGCGACATTGGAGGTAGTCTTATAAATACTCCGAATTCAAAGAAATTCGGGGCAATACTTGGTTATTCTTCGTATTAGCAAGTTAAGTATATTTCTACTATGTCTTATTTTATTGTACTTTTGCTTATTGTGTCTTTTGTGAAGATATTTTCTTTAAATATATTTTTTAAATTGGCTTAATTCTTTTCATAATTTGTCTCATGTTAGAAAAGATTTTAACAGTTCCTTTTAGCTATATAGGAGAATTTTAGTTTATTACAGAGCCTATCTTTTTCGTAGCTAATTTTTTGTTTAATTTTCCGTGAAAATAGCATCGGAAGTGGAATCACCCGTGGTTTTTGTTAATTGTTTTATTTTAAATATTTCAGGGCAAACTACTTCAATATGGATGTGCACATGGTGAAAGGGCTGTTGGAAACCATCCAAAATGCTATGGTTTTAAATAAGCGGTACGACAACGTAGCGGCGACAATTTTCGACCCGGACAAAAGCAACAACGGAGCAGCTGCCTGGTGCGAAAGCTTCGATAAGTTGGGAGATGAGTTAAAATGGTGCAGCTTTGAGAAGGTTGCAAAAGCGGTAAGGCCCTTCGGAGCTCTGTATTATCCTAGTTTGACACGTGGAAATCTGAGACGAAAGGATGAAAGGAGGATGAGATGAAAGGATTCAAAACAGATATTTTTTCTCTTCACCTGCGAAATAAAAATCTTAGTGAGAAACTGTTAAACGCTGTGTTATACACGTCGCATTCCGCAGATTCTTTCGATGGTATGCTAGGGAGAAATTAAGACAAAATCTACTTGTATATGTTTTACTGAGGGCCAACTAATAGAGCTTATTTGCGGTAGAATTAGTAACGTAAATGTAAGAATGGTTAGTTTAAACAGTTTTGTGGATTCGATCTCCGATTTCAATTTTTTTACTTTCAACTTACACAAAATTGCCAAAAAATGGCCGTTTGAACAATGGTCTCGTAACAATTCACCGGGTCGTAGTAACTTGTAAACGTTTTAAATATTATTCGACTCCATATAATAATAAAAATCAAAATAACTCGTAACTCTCAATCAAAATACTTTGTTGATAACCGGGGGAAAAAAGTACTCAATCTCTTCAAAATTCTGTAAACTTTGATTTTTGTAAAAGACTGTCCATGATGAAAGTAAATGTTATTTAAATTATTCTTTTACGTATTGTAAAAAATATCTTTATAGCGAATTTAAATGTTTATGTATGTTTATGTTTCACGCTAAACATAGCGGTCAGCCACCGTAGTGTCTACATCACATAAGGATGCCTCGTGCAGAGGCGAAACATGTGTAGTATTGTCGTCGATGGTGTGTCTTTCCTGGAATATTGGTGTCGGGAGTAGTGGTACCGGGAGTAATGGTGTTGGGAGTAGTGGTGCTGGGAGTAGTAGTGGTGACGGTATTGGTGCACGCAGTTGAGGGAGGGCAGGAGGTGCTCTTCAATCCAGGTAAGACACATCATTGTATTTAGTTAGCGGAAGGTTGCAAATTAATTAGTATCTTTATTTATAATGGATTTACGCAAAGTAACGCCTAATTTTATCAATTATGTAATAAGAATAATATATTTCTCAAATATTTCAAGATTAGAAAAATATGTTATATACATTCTCTTACTTGTGAATATGTTCAGAAAAAAAGATTAAAAGAAATACTTTTGGGCATATAACATAATTATGTACCTACTTATAATATAATTTGGTACATATGACTTTGACTGAACCACTTTCACATCAGTTGTGGTGAACTCCGACTTAATTATGGTGTGGCAAATAGCAGGTAGGCATTTCACTGTCTGAAGCTGAAATCATTAGTCCTAAATTTTGATATTCTGCCATATTTCTTTATTTGCCATCTTACGTTCTAGTTGTATGTCGTTATTTGCCATCTTACGTTCTAGTTGATAAAATTAGGCTAGCGATTTTGGCTTAGAAGGATCACGGTGTTTTTAGAAACCGGGTTTCATGGGTAAGCTTACTCTATACATGCCATTCCCGCGGCGTTTGGATATTGGCTGATAGAAATCCTCGCAGTATTTCTCCCCACGAGACATCTTAGAAGGGGTAAATAAAATGATATGTACACAGTAATTTTATATAATAGCATCGGCAGTGGAATCGCCCGTGCTTTTTGTTAATAATTTTAATTCAAATATTTCAGGGCAAACTTCTTTAATATGGATGTGGAGTTGGTGAAAGGGCTGTTGGAAACCATCCATTTCAAAAAAGCTGTCCGACAACGTAGCGGGAACAATTTTCGACCCAGACAAAAGCAACAACGGAGCAGCTGCCTGGTGCAAAAGCTTCGATAAGTTGGGAGACGAGTTAAAATGGAGCCGGTTTGGAGAAAGTTGCAAAACCGGTAAGGCCCTTCAGGGCTCTGCATTATCCTGGTTTGACACGTGGAAGTCTGAGACAGGTAGATCATGGAAAGAATTTAAAAAAGATGTTATGTCTCATTGTTATCTTAGTGAGAAACTGTTAAGCATTTACAATTTTGCCGCGTTACAACGCTTATAAATTTTACTTAATAACAATAAGATTGTTTGATATTCAGTGAGGCTGGTCTGTTTCTTCGCCTGCGTTGAAAAATTCTCCACAACCAAGTCATCGTCCTGCAACCTCCTCCACCAATCGCTTTTATTGCACTCGCTACCCCAGAAATGAATTGGATTAACATTTAATAAAACGCGCATTACATAACATTTAAGTAACTAAAATACTGAAAGAGCGGCAGGAAATAGTGAAAGTTCAACTCAAGGGCCAAAAACCAAAGTCGTAAGCCAAAAACGTACATTTATATAAAAATGGAAAATATATATATATATACAGTGTGTCTGGTCACGACCTAGCGATAATTTAAAGTTACAAAATATACCTAATTTCATCGACGAAAACACCCATATATAGGGGTCTACGCCCCCTCCTGTCGGAATGGCCGCCATTTAATTTTTTTTTATTCTTGTAGATACCTCTGCCAAAAGATGCAGATTTCTCTGGACAGAGAGGTCCTACAGATGTAAAAAAAATGTTATTTAAAAGGTAAAAATAGCATCTATCAAATAAAAATAAACATCACGGAAAGTTTTCCCTACAAAATATCTTAAAACATTTACAATGCTAATTTAAGTTAAAAAAAATTGACTATTTTTTTTATTTTTCTTAACATATTTCAAAAACTAGTACATTGATACTAAATTTTTAATACTGTCCTAATACTTAAGGATATTACTTACAAATTGACATTAAAATTATTGTTCTTAATTGCATAACTCGAGAGTTAGAGCTGTTTGAATATGACCCTTTTGCGAGGGTCATGTATGTAGAGCCCCATATGAGCGCTATTAATTTTCGATAATGGATTAAATAAAAATACACTATAACTTTTAAGAAACTTTTAATGGCATTAAGTACTATTAATAATTTAATAATTGTTCAAAATGTCCACCTCTATTCTGTAGACAGGCTACTGACCTTACAGCCATTTGGTGTGTGGCCCTTGATATTAAGACTATGTCGGATCTTATGTCATCCGCAATCGTCATTATTTTGTCGAGCAGTTCTTGTCTGCTATTTGGGACTGTAGCATAAACCCTCTGCTTCATCCATCCCCATAAAAAATAATCCAGAGGTGTTAAATCCGGAGAGCGAGGTGGCCAAGCTACCGTTCCACCACGTCCTATCCATGGTGAATAATTTTCATTAAGAAAAGCTCTCACAGCACGTGCGTAGTGAGCTGGTGCACCGTCCAACTGTAGCCACATGCGCCTTCGGTTGATCACTGGTAATTCCTCCATAATTTATCTAAATGTGTTCCTTAGAAAATCTATAAATCTTAGGCCATTCATTGTATTTGGTGATTCAATTGGTCCAATTAATTTGTCATTAATCATAGCCGCCCACATATTTACTGAAAATTCATGTTGAAATTTGCTGGGCCTTACTGCATTTGGATTTTCTTGCATCCATAAAAGCTGGTTTCTATGGTTTATAATACCAGCTCTTGTAAAAGTCGCCTCATCGGTCCACATGATTTTTTTTACAAAACAAAAGTTTGTCGACTGGGTGTAGGCCGGTCGGGATACCTCTGACGATACATTCGTACGGCGGCAGCAGCGCTTCCATTACATCTGCCATACACGAAATGCATGTCAGCTATGTGATGAGACGAATAGTTAGACATGTTTTTATCCGAAAAGTACGTAGTCACTGCAAACTACAACAAACTCGGCAGAATATCTCGGTGAAGGAATAGCGCAGAAAACGGAACGGAATAGTAGCGATCGCAACGCAGAGCGGAGTAACAAACATTTATCTTCGATACCTGCCCTGGTCAAACATGATTTTTTGTCCTACTTATTCATCGCCTAACAATAATACAAATCATTTTCCGTCCTTGTCACATAAACCCTATTCAATGTAGCAGGTAGCTCTACATGGGTTTGGGACCGTCGCAAAAGGGTCATATTCAACCAGCCCTAACTCTCGAGTTATGCAATTAAGAACAATCATTTTGGTAAATCTTTCCAATATGGACCATCGATTTCAAAGCCCATATTTTTTTTGTAAATAGTACTCACTAAAGCCCAGGTGCCTGTGCTTCCCTACGCTAGGGCGGAGGCACTGCTCATCCCGCAGCGCCGGAGCTGCCACGGAGCGCCGGAGCACAACTTCCCGGCTTCTTACCCCCCCTAGTCTCCAAAATTAACGAAATGTACTCGATACCAAGTAGTATTGATACTTTTGATACGATACTTGGTATCGAGTACGTATCGATACTTTCAAAATATTCGGAACCCTACACTAATTGACGTTTGACATCAATGATTTGTCAAATTCATTTTGTAATTGGTGTAATTGCGTGTTATTTGCCAATTTGTATGAAAAGTTTAAAAAAATATATCTCATGAACCGTAAGTTTCCGCAACCTAAAACTTTGCAAAACTCTTTCTTTTAGTGAGTACTATCTACAAAAAAATATGGGCTTTGAAATCGATGGTCCATATTGGAAAGATTAGCTATAATTTTAATGTCAATTTGTAAGTAATATCCTTAAGTATTAGTACAGTATTTGCTGTTTTTTGAAGTATGTTAAGAAAAATAAAAGAAATAGTCAATTTTTTTCACTTAAATTAGCATTGTAAATGTTTTAAGATATTTTGTAAGGAAAACTTTCCATGATTTTTATTTTTATTTGATGGATGCTATTTTTACCTTTTAAATAACATTTTTTTTACATCTGTAGGACCTTCCTGTCCAGAGAAATCTGCATCTTTTGGCAGAGGTATCTACAAGAATAAAAAAAATTAAATGGCGGCCATTCCGACAGGGGGGGGGGGGGGGCGTAGACCCCAATATATGGGTGTTTTCGTCGATGAAATTAGGTATATTTTGTAACCTTAAATTATCGCTAGGTCGTGACCAGACACACTGTATATACTAGTTCAAAAATTATGGGCATTCATTTTTACAGATAAATATTAATCATCGTCATAGTCATTACAGCCCCTTGCAAGCATACTGTTTTACAAAGCACGGTCTTGAGTCACCAGTTTCCATCACTTAAGGTTTATATTATGCTATATATAAAGGGGAATGGCAGGCTTGTGTGGGAGTTTCGTACCGCTAATAA